ACCCCCCCCCCAGTTCCCAATTAGAGCTGCTCCCCTTTTAAATGACAGTGCATAGCAGCTGGAGAATTGGAAAGCCGTTATTGGACTGAATAGCTAGTATGGATCCTCACATTGCCATGTGCTGTCAAACGAAAGCAAAGCAGATCAAATGGAGAACTATTCTTTCAGTTCCCCTCAGGCTTTCCCCACCCCCTATTGTAAAACTACCCCCCCAAGTGGCTGGGGGGGGGGGGTAGGGCAAAACTGCACTGAGGAAGGAGTGTGTGACATGGGCAGAACACAGGTACGTGACAGATTCATAGTTTAGTTTACACCAAGCATAATGAAACCTTGAAGCAAAGTATTGGGAAGGGGGGCAGAAGAAGGGAAGTATTGCAGGAAAAGTACAATATTATTATTATTTGTTTTACTTTAATTAGTGCTGGAAACTTTAGGGAAAAAAAGGGTTTGAACTATAAATATAGAGATTTTAAAACACTCCCTCTTGTGGTCATTGTTATATCTGGGAATGCAGAGAATTTGCTTGCAATTCTTTTTTTTTTTTTTTTTTTTTTTTAAACAAACTCTTTATTGGATTTTAATTTTGTGCATAGAAAATAATTTTTTTTTGGGACCTGGGTGCCCAGCGCACACATGGGCAGGCTGTCCAGAGCAAAGTAGACACAAAATAATACAATGGCTCAACAGAAAAACAAAAGCAAAAATAAAGGTGTGTTCATATATGGTTCCTGGTACATCAACCGGATTTAGCATAGATAATCGTACAATGCTCTTTTTAAAAGCAGGTGTATACATACAGCGTAAACACACACACATATATACACACATACACATATAGAGTGCATACTTACATACACAGTATGCATAGAAATGTAAAGTAGAAATCTCATTCTTTCCTATCTGGCAGCTTTACTGCTACTAACTGTACTTTACTGAGTATTTAAAGGTACTCATTCAAACTTATGCATGAGAAATACATAGATGTGAATAAGATATATACAGGGCTCAGCATAAATGAGTTCACCCCAACAGATTGGTCAGAAAACCTTTGCTTTCCTTTCAGAATCAACGTTTTCTATCGGACACTATACTACAAAATATTCATACAAATACAAATGTGAGCCATGGATTGCAAACAAGATTTGCTAATTTGCACACACAAAAAATAATTTTTCCTAACATCATTCAAGACCATGTTGCAAAAAAATGAATACAACAAAATGAAAGTCTTAGGAAAAAAGCAAAATTTTAGACAAAATCCTAATTAAAAAGAATTCAACTACAGGTGAGTCTAATTATTCATTAAACAGGTGTCCAGCAGACATTTGATTATAACAGGGTGTTGCTTAAAGAAAACCCCTTTCCATTTCATGCTGTCAGCAATGGCACCACATGGAAGAGAAATGTCACAAGGTCTGAGAAAGAAAAAATAATTTCTTTACTCAAGAAAGTTGAAGGCTACAAGAAGATCAGCAAAGCTTTACTTATCAGTCAGAATACTGTAGCAAAAGTGATACAAAAATTTAACATGGAACTGCAACATCTCACAGAGACTTCCAGGCTGTCCACAGAAGTTAACACCTCGACAGGAGCATCTTCTAATAAGGGTTGAAGAAAATCGCCATGCAAGTTCACTGCACTTTTGCTAAACTGGGGTGATTGCTTCCCATGACACAATATGGCGTACACTGCAGAGGAATGGCATGCATGGGTGTCATCCACAAAGGAAGCCCTCTCCTAAAGCCCATGCACAAAAAAGCCGCCTAGAATTTGCCAGGGCCCATACTGAAAAAGACTACAGGGACACTGTACTCTGGAGTGATGAGACCAAGATAAATGTTTCTGGAACTGATGGCTTCAAAACTGTATGGCGTCGCAAAGGTGAGGAGTACAAAGAAAAATGCATGGTGCCTTCAGTGAAACATGGTGGTGGCCGTGTCATTCTGTGGGGTTGCATGAGTGCTGCTGGTGTCGGGGAGCTGCATTTCATTGATGGGATCATGAATTCACAGATGTACTGCTCTATATTGAAAGAGAAGATGCTACATCACTCCATGCCTTTGGTCGTCGTGCACTTTTTCAACATAACAATGATCCAAAACACACATCTAAACCACTGTTGCATCTCTGAACAACAGGAAGAAAGTGATTCAGTAGCCAAGTATGTCTCCTAATCTGATCCCAACTGAACACCCATGAAGGTTCCTGAAGAGACAAGTTGAGCATCACTCTCCATCCAGGATATAGGTTCTAAAAGAGGTTGTTCTTGAATGGAAAAAAGATTGATGTTGCAATATGTCACCAACTTGTTCTTCCATACCTAGAAGACTTGGTGTTGTCCTTACAAATCTTGGAGGTCATACAAAGTACTAGATGTAGCACTTTTTGTTGTGGGGTGTATTCATTTTTGCATAAACTTAGATTTGTAATCTAAGGTATACTATTAACCGCACTTTCATCTAATGAGCTAAAAAATGTTCTATAAAATGTCAAAATTTTGGAAAGTGTTTATTGAGATAATGAATATTTAATTACTTATTTATTTCAGGTGCTTATATAGAGCTGTCAATTTATGCAGCGCTTTACATATACAGTGGGGATCGAAAGTTTGGGAACCCCAGCTAAAAATTTGTATTAATGTGCATAAAGAAGCCAAGGAAAGATGGAAAAATCTCCAAAAGGCATCAAATTACAGATTAGACATTCTTATAATATGTCAACAAAAGTTAGATTTTATTTCTATCATTTACACTTTCAAAATAACAGAAAACAAAAAAAATGGCGTCTGCAAACGTTTGGGCACCCTGCAGAGTTAATATCTTGTACTGCCCCCTTTGGCAAGTATGACAGCTTGTAAACGCTTTTTGTAGCCAGCCAAGAGTCTTTCAATTCTTGTTTGAGGTATCTTTGCCCATTCTTCCTTACAAAAGTCTTCCAGTTCTTTGAGATTTCTGGGCTGTCTGTCACGCACTGCTCTTTTAAGGTCTATCCATAGATTTTCAATTATGTTGAGGTCAGGAGATTGTGAAGGCCATGGCAAAACCTTCAGTTTACGCCTCTTGATGTAATCCCCCGTGGATTTCGAGGTGTGTTTAGGATCATTATCCATTTGTAGAAGCCATCTTCTCTTTAACTTCAGCTTTTTCACAGATGGCATCAAGTTACCATCCAAAATTTGCTGAAATTTTATTGAATCCATTTTTCCTTCTACTCGTGAGATGTTCCCTGTGCCACTGGCTGCAACACAACCCCAAAGCATGATTGATCCAACCCCATGCTTAACAGTTGGACAGAGGTTCTTTTCATTAAATTCTGTGCCCCTTCTTCTCCAAACGTACCTTTGCTCATTCTGGCCAAAAAGTTCAATTTTACCCTCATCGGTCCACAGAACTTGTTTCCAAAATGCATCAGGCTTGTCTATATGTTCATTTGCAAAGTTCAAACGATGATTTTTGTGGTGAGGACGTAGAAGAGGTTTTCTTCTGATGACTCTTCCATGAAGACCATATTTGTACAAGTATCTCTTTATAGTGGAATAGTGTACCACAACTCCAGTGTCTGCCAGATCTTTCCAGAGGAATCGTGCAGTCAAACGTGGGTTTTGAATTGTTTTTCTCACAATCCTGCGAGCTGTTCTGTCTGATATTTTTCTTGGTCTTCCAGATCTTGCTTTATCTTCCACTGTTCCTGATGACTGCCATTTCTTAACTACATTCCGAACAGAGGATATTGACATCTGAAAACGCTTTGCTATCTTCTTATAGCCTTCTCCAGCTTTGTGAGCGTCAACTATTTTCAGTTTCAGTTTTCTAGACAACTGCTTAGAAGAACCCATGGTGCTGATTGTTGGGGTAAGGTCAGATGAGTCTGGGCATTTAAAACCTTTGAGATTGACATCACCTGGTCTTCCCAGACGATGATTGAGAACAATCCATGACACTGGCAGGTCTCAGCTTGGCAAAGGGGGCAGTGCATGCTATAAATTTTGCAGGGTGCCCAAACATTTGCAGACGCCATTGTTTTGTTTTCTGTTATTTTGAAAGTGTAAATGATGGAAATAAAATCTAACTTTTGTTGACATATTATAAGAATGTCTAATCTGTAATTTGATGCCTTTTGGAGATTTTTCCATCTTTTCTTGGCTTCTTTATGCACATTAATACAAATTTTTAGCTGGGGTGCCCAAACTTTCGATCCCCACTGTATATAGATTGTACATTCACATCAGTCCCTAACCCTCAAGGGGCATACAATCTAAGGACCCTAACTCACATTCACACGTACACATACTAGGGCCAATTTAGACAGGATCCAATTAACCTACCAGCATGGAGTGTGTGAGGAAAAAGGAGTACCCAGAGGAAACCTGCGCAGGCACAGGGAGAAAAACTCCAGGCAGGTGGTGCCGTGGCTGGGATTTGAACCAACGACCCTAGTACTGCCAGGCGGAAGTGCTAACCATTTGGCTGGGATTCGAACCAACGACCCTAGTACTGCCAGGCGTAAGTGCTAACCATTTAGCCACTGTGCTGCCCAAAATCTTAATTTTCAAAAGGGGTGTACTCATTTGTGCTGAGCACCGTGTGTGTGAGCGTGTGTGTGTGTGTGTGTGTGTATATATATATATATATATATATATATATACATACACACACACACGCCTGCCTTTACACACACATGAACTTTAATGACATCCAGTCTTAGTCTGTAGGGTTCAATATTGAGTTGGCCCACCCTTTGCTACTATAACAGCTTCAACTCTTCTGGGAAGGCTATCCACAAGGTTTAGGAGTCTGACTACGGGAATGTTTGACCATTCTTCCAGAAGCGCATTTGTGAGGTCAGTCATTGATGTCTGACGAAAAAGGCCTGGCTCACAGTATCCATTCCAATTCATCCCAAAGGTGTTCTATTGGGTTGAGGTCAGGACTCTGTGCAGGCCAGTCAAGTTCCTCCACCCCAAACTCGGTCATCCATGTCTTTATGGACCTTGCTTTGTGCACTGGTGCGCAGTCATATTGGAATCCCCAAACTGATCCCACAAAGTTGGGGAGCATGAAATTGTCCAATATGTCTTGGTATGCTGACGCCCTAAAAGTTCTCTTCACTGGAACTAAGGGGCCAAGCCCAACCCCTGAAATAACCCCACACCATAATCCCCCCTCCACAAAATTTTACACTTGGCTCTACAGTCCTGTGGCGGCGTGCTTTACACCACTGCATCCAACGTTTTGCATTGCACTTGGTGATGTAAAGCTTGGATGCAGCTGCATGGCCATGGAAAACCATTCCATGAAGATCTGTACACACTGTTGTGCTAATCTGAAGGCCACGCGAAGTTTGGAGGTCTTTAGCTATTGACTCTGCAGACAGTTGGCGACTTCTGCACACTGTGCACTTCAGCATGAGCTGACCTTGCTCTGTTGTTGCTGTTGTTCCCAATTGCTTCCACTTTGGTATAATACCACTAACAGTTGACTGTGGAATATTTTGCAGCAAGGAAATTTCACGGATGGACTTATTGCACAGGTGGCAACCTATCAAGGTACCACGCTTGAATTCCCTGAGTTTCTGAGAGCGGCCCATTATTTCACAAAATGTTTGTAGAAGCAGTCTGCATGCCTAGGTGCTTGATTCTTTACACCTGTGGTCATGGAGGTGATTGGAATACCTGAATCCAATGATTTGGAGGGGTGTACTTTGGGCAATATAGTGTGTGTGTGTGTATATATATATATATATATATATATATATATATATATATATTTTTTTTTAAACTTATTTACACTATTTACTTCTTTTTCCTTATCCATAACAGAACTTTGAATTAAAATGAGAAATAGTACCCTGCCAGGCACGTTTCAAAGACTACATCTATTCTGGGGCCTTCTCATTTTTTTTTAAGTGGCCTATGTGCAATTCTTTGAGACTGTTATCTGTAGTACAAAAGCAGATAATTTCCTTTCAAACTGGTGGAAATTGTAGTTATCAAAGGATATAATGATATGCCTAATTTGACAATGTAGTGTGTGGGGGGTCCCCCCTGCACACACTAGTTTTCAGCTGATGCTGGTGTCCTAAGGTTATCTAGTACAGCATTAGACACTAGCGGACAACAATATAAAATCATTAGACTTATCCAATAGCTGGACTTCATATGTGTGCACATTAAGTAATGTTCCGAAGAAGGACTGCTGCATCCTTTGTCACATACCACCTATTACTTTCGGAATAGACAAATGTGCTCTATTTTCAGTACTATGACTGCAGCATTTGAACAAAGCTACTAAGTCGGGCTGTTATAAAAGTTACTCCCTCTTCACGGGAAAGACATTTGAGCTTCCTAATGCCAGAAGCACTGTATAGGCTGCTCTCTACAGCATTGCTGCTGAGTCATTTCAGCACTGACATCTGATGACTCTAGAAGGATGTCAAGGTTGACAGAAAGGTCAGCCAGAATAAGGAAGGGAAAATAGTGTCTAGCTCTAAGGCTGATTTGATAGATGACGGAGTGTTACTAGATAGTGACATCTTTCTGCGACAAGAGCAGCGATTGTAATTGTACCTAATAGGAATCAGAGATGCTGTATTTTCACATCAGAGCCATTGTAACCCAAGAATCAGCTAAAAATAGGCCTACTTACAGATCTTTAGCCATTCTCTAAGACATTACCCAGTTGTGTCTTTTTATTATGCAGTATTCTGGAGAGACCCATATCTACATTTTACTATTGAATGTCTTACAGAATGTGCTGGTGTATTGCATTCAATCCTTTCATTGTCTAAGTATTAAAAAAAAAAAACACATGAAAACAACTGTTCACACAATGAAGAACAGCCAGGATTTCATGTCATAAAAACTGATTTTTCTGCATACAAACGTTTTCTTACACAAATCAACTTAAATCACCCATTTCTACAAACTGTTATTTTAGGTCTACGGATATCTTTAGATGAGCAGTAAACCCAAAATTAGGGTGCTCTAGACTGTGTTTGAGCCAGACTGGGCAACTGTTCAATTGCAAACTATTTTATCTTTAATCTGTCATCCACCTTTTCAGAGGTCTGATTATTTGTTTTTTTCATATACCATATGCCCCTACATGAGGCATAAGGAGATCCAATAACGATCAGATCATAAAGACAATATTATTTCTCAATGCACATAAATTCTGATTGCGTACACCCAATGTCACAGCAAGTGTCATATGGACTTGTATAGTTACAAGACAAACTCGAAAATCCCTTTTATCTAACAATATGAATTCCAGTTTTTCTTATTCTTTTTCATAGGACTAGATCCCATTTACTACCACATTGTTTCACATTTCCAAACCTGCTGAGATTATAGACTCATCTCATTAGGCTAGAATAGGCTCAATAAAATTAACATTTCAACCCATGTGAAAGAACTTTTTGTTTCACACCCATGCAACAGTCATTTTTTTTTAAATAGGGACCCTTATCCAGGTGTGTTAGCTAGGTGAACTGAGATTAATGCATGTTTTTTTTGCTATTAGTACAGTTATTTTCCATCATTTGATTGCTGGAAAAAACAGTCATTATGGCAAACAACAACCATTATAGTTTAGGTAATTGAGACTTATTGATGAATAGTTTAACCACTTTTATAAATGGTTTATAAATTGAATATATCAGCCTGGATATCAGCATGGAGAGAGTTGAATTTAATATGACCTCTGATGTTCCTATTACCAAACTTTGTACACTATTATAATCTAATCTCCCAAGGTAGTTAAATTATTTAATATATTAAAAACATGCAAAACTAAACTTACAGAAACTATGAAGTACCATAAAATGTAGTCTCCACAGACATCTGTCACATTACTCAAAAGCTACAGTAAATGATGAGTAACTACAAACTAAATAAAATCATCAGCTAATATAGCTAGTGATTAGAGATGAGCGAATCAAACATGACGAAGTGGAATTCGTTTAGAAGATTAGGAAATATTCGATTCGCGCCGAATCCGAAAATTAGCAAACTTCGGATGCACGAATCGAATTTTCCCAAAAATGGCGGCGACATGTGTGGCGACGGAGCGGGGATCTCTGGGAAGGCGCGCTGACCCATAATGCATTCATTCATGACATGTGATCGCATTAGCCAATCAGCAGCCAGTCAGCCAGCACTGTGTAATGGTGGAGCTATAAATCGCGGCCATCTTAGAATTCTCCATTAGCCTCCGGTCATTCAAGAGAGACAGACCTCTGTGTATTAGGGACAGAGTTAGGGCCACAGAGACTTTAGGGCCACAGAATCGTTACTTAGGGACACAGAATCGCTACTTAGGGACACAGAATCGTTACTCAGGGACACAGAATTGTTACTCAGGGACACAGAATCGTTACTCAGGGACAGACACAGAATTGTTACTGAGGGACACAGAATCGTTACTCAGGGACACAGAATTGTTACTCAGGGACACAGAATCGTTACTCAGGGACAGACACAGAATTGTTACTCAGGGACACAGAATTGTTACTGAGGGACACAGAATCGTTACTCAGGGACACAGAATTATTACTCAGGGACACAGAATTGTTACTGAGGGACACAGAATCGTTACTCAGGGACACAGAATCGTTACTCAGGGACACAGAATCGTTACTCAGGGACACAGAATCGTTACTCAGGGACACAGAATTGTTACTCAGGGACAGACACAGAATCGTTACTCAGGGACACAGAATCGTTACTGAGGGACACAGAATCGTTACTCAGGGACACAGAATTGTTACTGAGGGACACAGAATCGTTACTGAGGGACACAGAATCGTTACTCAGGGACACAGAATCGTTACTCAGGGACAAAGAATTGTTACTCAGGGACACAAAATTGTTACTCAGGGACACAGAATCGTTACTGAGGGACACAAAATCGTTACTGAGGGACACAGAATCGTTACTCAGGGACACAGAATCGTTACTCAGGGACACAGAATCGTTACTCAGGGACACAGAATCGTTACTCAGGGACACAGAATCGTTGAATTAAAGAGTATGTCAGACAACACGCAGAGGAGTGGCAGAGGAGGCAATGTTTCAGGAGCGAGCAGACGTGGCAGCAGAGGAAGGGGTCGAGGCAGCACTAGTCGCAGCCAGAGGCCAGTGCTCCCGATGTCATCCAGCGGTCGTGTCTCCACCGACAACCCTGCCATCATCGATTGGTTGGCTCGGTCGTCTTCCTCTTCCCAGGTCACCTCTGACACCTACAGCCAACGGTCGGTGGGTACGTCAGACACAACCGTTAGTTGGCATGGCCCGGGAGCAAGCCCACTGAAATCACGTGTCCTCTACCTGCCCCTGTCCTTTGGTGTTCCCTCACCAAGCGAAGTATCGCATGCTGTGGGCTCAGCCCCACTGTACAGTGAGGAAGAGCTAACAGAGGGCGGTCAGGAACGGGGGGAGACATCCGCCTCTTCAGCAGCCAGGCGAAGAAGTACTGGCGAGGAGAGTGGCTGTAGCCGGTCTAGAGACAGGTCTGACCCACACGCAGCCGAGGGGGCTAGTAGTGAGGCGGAGACCCTAATTGATGATGATGAGGCTGATCGCACTTGGCAGCCTCGTCGTCATCAGGCTATTGCTTCCGCATCATCAGGAGAAGAGGGTGCCAGCTTGGCAGCGAGCAAAACAGTCGGTGGGTTGCCCAGGAGGCAGCAGGGTCGCAGCAGTGTCAGTGGAGGCAAATGGCCACGGAGTAGAGCACCAGCTCCACTGCAGCCTACCACCACGGCCAGTAGTGGTGCCGGTGTGCACGGAGGAAGTAGCAGTCAGCCAGTGAGGAGTAGCGGGGGCAAAGTTTCCTACTCGGCGGTGTGGCAATTTTTCATCAAGCCGCCCGAGGAAGTAAACGTAGCCGTATGTCGACTATGTGGCCAGAAAGTCAAGCGTGGCCAGGGGGCCCATGTTGGGACTACAGCGTTGCGTCAGCATATGCAGCGTCGCCATTCGGTGGCCTGGGAAAACCGTGATAAAGATACGGCGGTTCTGCCTGCCCCAGCCCCCGCTCCATCACCCGCTCCGTTACTTGCTCCGTCACCCGACGTCAATCGCCCTCTATCAGCCAGTCAAGGCTCCAACACCTCTGCTGAGGGGAGTTGTCGCTCGTTGGCATCTTCCGCTCGTTCAGATGCTCCTTCTCCTGCTACTCCTCTTCACGGATTCCGTCAGCAGTCTTTCTTGGAATCCGTTTCCAAGAGACAACAGTTTGCGAGCACGCACCCGACGGTGCAGAAGCTGAACGTCCTCCTGTCCAAGTTGCTGGTGCTGCTGCAGTCCCTCCCTTTCCAAGTGGTGGACTCAGCACCTTTCCGAGAAATGATGGCTTGTGCCGCGCCGCGGTGGAGAGTGCCAAGCCGGCATTTCTTCGCCAAAAAGGCAGTGCCAGCCCTGCATTCACATGTAGAAGAGATGGTGGGCCAGTCTTTGAGCATGTCGGTCTCTGCCAAAGTGCACGGCAGCGCCGACGTGTGGAGCTGTAACTACGGTCAGGGACAGTACATGTCATTTACGGCCCACTGGGTGAACGTGGTGCCGGCACAGCCGCACCAGCAACTTGGACAGGTCACGCCGCTTTTGCCTCCACGTTTGCA